TTTTTTACTATCCTTATTAGGGGTGAAATTGACTAGTTCAATCCCTATCTCAAGGTGACCATGTAGAGCATAGAGCTAAATAGCAGTTATTTTCTATATTTCTGCTAAAAACAATCTGAATACAGTGCCCACATTTTGCGTGAATATTCGTCCTCATATCTGAAACGAATGAGGAAAGAGTGCCAATGCTGGTCTATTCTCTCTCACCAACAGTAAAAGCTGTTTAGCTATGCCCCTTTTCTTTTAAGAAATTCATCCAAAGGAATAATTCCTATTCTCCAAACCGCGGTCCAGCGTGATAGCAGTAATTCGGGATAGTCAGAGAGAAAAATCACGATTTTGTAGTCTGCCTTTAACAAACGTCAAACTCACTGTGAGAAATATCGAAAGCACCAAGATGCTTTGGGTGGTTTTATTCTAAATCTGGTTCCAAAGTTTTGTAGATATTTATACATCATTATTTTCTGGTGAGAATCTATCACTAATTCCTGTCTCATCAGAAATTTTTACTGGTGTGGGCAAAACAATTCTTACTAAGACAATAGGCTTCAATGGATTTGAATCCTGAAAGTATAGGACTCGTTGATAGGATATGAACAAATACATGAAGATGATTAACCCTTTGTACATTGCGTAATCTGTTAGCTGTATTATGAGCAGTCTTAGATCAAATACGTGATAAGCGTCATCAGTGCAATGTTCTGAATTTCACCAAGGCTCGTTGTGCTTCGCATACCTTCCACAAAATTGATTGATACTCACTGGGTAAATTAAGTTTCTCAACCATCTCGGTAGGCTCGATAAGTGCTTCCCAACAAAGCATTTAATTAATATTGTTCTATATATGTTCGATAACCAACAGATCTCATTCGGCACTACATAACAAGGGAGATACTGACGACCAATTCCTAACTGTCAAATCATTTTCCAATCCCTTTCAGTCTCTTGGGTTCCATGTTCCCATTACCCCGAATTCTGTACGCAATGGCTTCAGACGGTCTTATTTTTCGGCTTTTTGGTCGCATCAACCGACGATTTAAAACCCCGTTGATTGGAACAGTCATCTCTGGAGTGTTTGCCGGTAGGTTGCATTTGTTTATAAACGCTGTTCTTTGCATTATTGGACTGTGTAAATTGATTAGATGAACTACTGATAGTTTAGCTTCAGATTTACGCCTGTGAAATTGATTACTTCTGATAAGCGATTCAAACCAAATATCTACTTTCGATTTTGAGATGCAAAAGGTGACATTCAACGTGACGTTGCACTAACTTTCAGTTCATACAACTACCATCTATTCCCTTTAGTGCAGTGGGTTTGGTTACTGCCTTTTGGCCGTCCATTTGGATGGAGGACTGCAGACAAGAGTGGAATATTGAAACCAGCGGTTTCGTAATGATAGTGAATTTAGATAGACAATGGCCGAGAAGACATTGAGTATGTGCACAAACGCTACTGCTTAAGGCACTGAGTATCACATAATATCAATTGCACTGATCCCGAAGTCCCAAGGTGCAACAGCAAGTCAAAGGAGCTATATCGTTTTCATTTTTTATTTCGTGCAACACTATAATCTTTTAGTTGAGAAATTTTCCAAGTTGTTTTTTTTTGAATGGACTGACCGGACAGATAAAATAATTCGGGTTCAGGCGGCTCTTGGGGATCAGTCATTTGTCTGCAGACAGTTATTTTCAGAACCACCGGCCTTATACAAGTGAGTCCAAAGCAAGTCCGAATCTGAACGGGTACAGCAAACAAATGTTTTCACTCCCGAAGTAGACCTCACTATTTATTAAAAGTCTGACACTTTTTCTAGGGTTTCCGGAACTGTTTCACTGCAATATGGCACTTCAACTATTCAATTAAAATCTCATCAGCTTTATGATGCTATTTACGGGCTCCCACTATTACCGAGTTGGGCGCTGCCTCAAC